TCTCCCCATCTCAGAGGGAGCAGATGGAGTTAGTACTTCCTGTTGGCCCTGTATTCCTACAGATCCAGCGTTGCAACTGTTGGGATGCAAACGCATGCTTACCACATCTTCCCAAGCCTGTATTGAGTGAGTTTTCGCGAATTGATCATTTGCAGTCCTCCAACACCCAAGACATGATATACCGCACAAAATAAAAAGTTCCAGAGACCCTCAGTGAAGTTGTTAGCATGATTTGGATAATTCAGACTTTATTGAAAATTGACATTGGGGTGGTATCTGTCTCCATTTGGTCTCAATTTGTCCCTCCACCCCTACCCTCTCTCTGAGTCAGTTACTTACTCATATACACATTATGGTGTGTCTGTATATACATGCACCCACATGTATTCCCAAAGTTTCAAGTCAATATCCTGCCAATAAAGTGTTAGGCTTGTCTTGCCCTCCTGACCATCTATGTGTATATTTTGAATTTTGTTTGTGAAATCCTTATGTCCTCAATCTCATGTTTAGACTGCCAGTCCCCCAGTGGCTATATTAATCTTTATTAAGATCTTTATTAATCACTAAAACAAGCTAAGTAAATGTTGTTGCTACTATTTTTGAATACTATTTTTATTTTTTGAGATTTTCATAAAATATATTTGGATCATATTCACACACACTCCAGGCAGCCTCTCCATCCCCCCATTCCTTCTTACCCAACCTTAAGGTTTCCTCCTCCTTTTCTTCCTCCGTCCTCTGTCCTCCTCCTCGTCCTCATTCTCCTCCTCTTCCTCCTCCTCTTCACCCATGAATTCCAGTTTGTGTTACCCAACAGATCTGGGAGCCGTAGTTCTAGGTAAAGATCCTGGCTCTGTAGTTACACAAACCACTCTCTGAATCTCAGTCTCCTAAAGGATGCTGCCCACAGTGGTGACTGTTCTCTGGGTTAAATTACAGGTGTCATGTGCTCATCAGGTTTCAGCATTTATTTCTCATAGCAGGGCTTCTTAAACTCTTCATTCACAATCCCATGTCACTGGAGAACAAGTTTCCATATTAATGGGCTTCTTTATTTCTACACGAAGAATTAAACCTCTATTTGATACTTGGTTCTACAGGGTGAAGACCATCTTCAACATTTTTCCAAATTGATTTGTATTTTTCTTTTGCAGTCATCAATGCAGAGACCACTGCGTCATATACATTGTACAAAATAGCAGAAGTGTGTGTAGGGCCGTGCCTGAAATTACTGGAGATTCTGTTGGGATTACCAAGCCTGGGTTTATTATCAGTGTTTTTATGAGACTCAGGTTAGCAACTCAGCATTTTAAAAAACCAAGTGTTCTAACATGATACCAACCCTACATCCCAAAGTATACTAATTTGGAACTTCCATGCAGAGAAGGCTGACAGCAGGAGACTGTTGAGTGCCCCCCACCCCAATAATTAAACCATTCTGTTTCTCTTAAAAACAGAAGATTCTTGTATAGATGGGGCAAATATCTCAGGTCAGTTGAGCTGAGGGTTTGGGCAGCCTTATTGGATTTGCATGGTGTGTTACACGTGCAGAACCAAGACTGTAGGGAGTTGGTTGCACATTCAAAAACGTCTTATTGTGGCCACATGTGTCATGAAGGGTTTATGCAACCTTTCTGGATTCTCAACTGACAGTTTAAGAAATGTCTGATTTTGTTGTGCTTATGCTGAGAGAGTTGACCCACTGAGTATCCTTGAGACAGTCAGTGGCTCAGTTTTCTGTGTCTTGGTTCCACTTAAAAGCCTGTGAAAATCACTTGAGAATTATGCAGGGGTAAGGTAGAGGCACAGGTGGAGAGGGAGAGGGTGTCCTGGTACCTGGCCCTTTTCTGGAGGTTTGGATACAATTGCCAGAGGAAGGGCTCAGGAAGCAGCCACCTCCCACAAGGGAGAAAGGGTTTAATTGGCTTCATAGTTCAGAGGATCGAGGTCCATCATGGTAGGGAAGCTAGGGCACCGGAAGCAGCTTGGTTTGTGGCCTGAAAATGAAGGACAGAGGACAATGCTGGACCTTAACTGCCATTCTATTCTCCTTTTTCTCTTTGTATTCAGTCCAGGATGCCAGCCATGGATTGGTGTCACACATATTCAGGGTGGATTTTCCCTCAACTAGACATCTCTTTGGAAAAACACAAATGTGTCAAACATATCCCTGTGCCTCATTAATTCTCTGAGGTGTTTTTTGTTGTTGGTGGTGGTGATGGTTTTTTTGTTTTGTTTTTTGTCCAGTCAGGTTGACAGTTTAAACTGGCCACCACAAGTACACCCCTTGTCAACTTGACACCGGAATACAGCACTTACACTGTGATGTTTTACCCCTGGCCACATGGACTCACGGCCATCTCTTAATGCAAAATGCCTTCATTCCGGCTTTGAAAGTCTTCATGGTCCTATTTCAATGTCGTTCTGAAATCCAGTCTTTTCTAAGACCGGAAACAAATCTTAACCACGAACTCCCATAAAATAAAAGAATAAATTGAATACTTTCAATATGTGATAACACAGAGTAGCGCATAAGAATTGGGGCATAGCAAGGAAAGATGCCACAAAAACAAGACTGGGGCCCACCCAGATGAACGCCAAATCTTGTACCTCCATGTCCAGCATCTGGGGCGCTTGGAGGTATCTGAGCCCCTGGGCTTCCAGTCTGGCCACCTGCGGCACGTACGGCTTTTCTCTTGGTCAGTTGTGCTGGGTGCCCGCCGCATTCCTTACCAAACGCCGCACATTTCCAGCCCCTCCAGTATCCTGTGCTGTCTATGGCTTAGCAGGAAGATGTGTTTCTATAGAGCCTTGTGCTTTCAGCCTGCACGGACGCAAACGCCGCCTGCTCTTCCTGTCGCTACTGTGGATGTAGCAGGCCATTTGGGAGAGAGCTGTTGGTTGGCTGGGTATCAGCTGATTGAAATGATGATCTGTTCCCATTTTAAATCATTTTGGAAATTCTATAAGTGAGCAGCAAATCTGGTGCTTAAGTGGAACCGCCTAGCGAGCGCCATTCCTCTTTCTGCTGTCGTCCCTGCCCTTGACTTTCAAAGAGATGTCCGCCTCGGATGATTTTCACGGGTGTCATCTGACTGAGAGATCAGTGTGTATGAGCTACAAGGTGTGGGCTAGGGGCCCCCTGATTGCAGGCCTCCAGCTCTCGAGGAACTTTGTGTAAACTCCACCCTCTTGGACACTATGTAAACTGCATTTTTATCTCCTCATGTGGAAATTCGTAAGTGAGAAGACATGTATTATACCTATGTGCCTGGATATGGCAGTAAGTGTCCTCTTCATGCCTCCGTGAGTCACATGCATGGGTTCCTCTGTAACTCTGAACTCATGGTCAGGAGGACAAAGGGGTTTGGGCGCAGGATCTTGTCATTGTTCCTTGTGTAATTTGGAGGCATCTCAGGTCAGTAGAGGGATTGGATATTGACTTTTCTGCTGCAAAAACCCTTGCGCATCTTCTGCCTGAGAAGAGCGGAGCTGCGGAAGTGGACGATGCCTGGATGTGTTGTATTCTTCCCTGTTTATTACTTCCCGGATTGACTTCATCACATTTGTGCGGCATCTGTCGTGTTAATAAGCTGGATTCTGGCATGGTTTTAATGCGCCTTTTGATCTGAACCACAGATGTGTCTTGACACATATTCTCAGTTACACACCTTCACCGTTCTGTTTGCATTCTTTTCCTTCCTTCCTTCCTTCCTTCCTTCCTTCTTTCTTTCTTTCCTTCTTTCTTTCTTTCTTTCTTTCTTTTTATTGCTTTACCCAGAATGTTATATAGTGGAATTGCTGTTGAAAAGCTAGTTAGGAGATGTCAAGGCAGACTTTCAGGGGGTACTGTAAGGGAGTTTTACAGTTGGGAAGACAGAGTTGAGCTCCCCATCTAAAGGTAAGTGTGAGGTCGTAGAGCTGGAGGGGAAGAGGAAATGCAGTAGGGGATCCCAGATGAGCAGGCCTAACAGGGTTCCTGCTGAAGAGGCCAGGTGACCAGACATCGCCTGCAGCATGGTGGTGTTCGAGGAACCCGATCGGGTATGGGGTAGAGGATCTTGCTAACATTGGGTGATGCAAAGATAGACACAAAAGCCACTGAGAACAGGGTTCCCAGACTCTTCAGTAAAGTTTGCCCAGAGGAGCCCCAAGACTAAAGCCTCATGCCCAGCCTAGCTGGCTTCAGCGTCTGCTTTCACTTCTAAGAGGCATCTGCTCTTTACCCAGCGCTTAAATATTCCATTGTCAGGTAGGCAGTTGGTTCATCTGTTCACCTACTATAGGATACCATGGTTATTTTCCAGTTTGGACAATTATGAATAAAGTAGCCTAAATATCTAAATACAGGCTTTGCGTGGATACCAGTTTTCAAAACTAATTTCAGTTTTACAGGAGCATTGTAGAGTTAATTGGTGCAGAACATTCTTGTATACCCCTTAGCTAATTTCTCCAATGCTAACGTGCTACACGAGTTGTCAAAACTAATTAACATGGGTGCGTTGCTGTTGCCCAGGCTCTGTTTACATTTCAGCAGTGTTTCCACCAATTTTCTGTCTCTATTTTACCATCCGTCTCAGGGTACCACGTTGCATTAGTAGAACAGTAATTTGAATTTGAGTTTGTACAAGTAGTTTGGGCATGTTATATTTGCTAAATATCTTCAAAACCCTGAGCATATGCTGAGGACACAAGTGTAAACCTATCAGCTGTTTAATTATAAGATTTCTGTTTTTGAGCTTTTTTTTTTAGTTTGCATCTGGCTTCGGTAAAACGTTCAGCTCATCTAGTGCAGGGAGGTGTACTGTAGGCTTTGGTTACAAGACGTTGATTCTCAGCAGTACCAGAGCTTGCTGGAAGGTCATTTTAAGGACGAGAGTTTCAAGGGCCTAGAGGAGACTAGCGGCAGTGTGGTCATAGGAGCTGTCATTGTCTAATTTTTCAAGTCTGGACGAGGCATTCAGGTAGCTAATGAGCATCTTTAAATGTTTTGCTGGCAGAAGGACTCCATGAAAGATGACAGAAGAAGTCATTGTCATAGCCAAGTGGGACTACACGGCCCAGCAGGACCAGGAGCTCGACATCAGGAAGAACGAGAGACTGTGGCTGCTGGATGACTCCAAGACCTGGTGGCGGGTGAGGAACGCAGCCAACAGGACGGGCTACGTGCCGTCCAACTACGTGGAGCGCAAGAACAGCCTGAAGAAGGGCTCCCTGGTGAAGAATCTCAAGGACACGCTAGGTGAGCGTCCACAGCCCACCTGGCACAGCTAGGCCATCGCTGAGGCCAGAGGATAGCATTGCTGCTTCTGCGTGTGTGTGTGTGTGTGTGTGTGTGTGTGTGTGTGTGTGTGTGTGTGTGTGTGTGAGAGAGAGAGAGAGAGAGAGAGAGAGAGAGAGAGAGAGAGAGAGAGAGATGCAGTGTGAAATGTGATGTATAGTGTGTGTGAGTGTGGTGTGTGTGAACATGGTATGTTTAGTGTGTGTATATGTGGTGCGCTGTGGGGGGTGTATGTGTGTATGTAATGTGTTTTTTGGTGTGAGTGTGGTGTATAGTGTGTGTATGAGTGTAGTATGTGTATTTGTGGTGTGTAGGGTGCATGATGTGGTATTTGTGTGTGTGTGTGTGTGTGTGTGTGTGTGTGTGTGTGTGTGTGTGTGTGTGTGTGTGTGTGTGTGTGTTGGGGCCGGTGTTCATGTTGGCAGCCTCCTACTTGGGTTTTGTACAGAGATCAAGTTAAAGACTCTACTTACCATTTTCTGTATAGCTTACTAGAGTTTAGGATCTTGGGTAAATCAACACTTCTGTGTGCTATGGACCCCTTCACAGCTGTTTCCTTGCATCCAAACTTTCAAAGACCCTGACTTGACTCGCAACAAGTTTCATAGCTTTCCCTGCCAATGCACCAACCCTTTTCTCTTACACACTCCCATGCATTGGCCTTTGTACAGGCAGAAGGAGAAGACAGGTGTATTTTGGTCTGTTTTCGCTTTTGTGATATTTTATATCACAGTTTCAGGCAGTTAGTTGATGTGTAGCTGGGTGATGAGCAATGTGACATAAGAAACCTCACAAGCGGATACTTGAACAAGTCCTGTTCAGTTATGATACTCTCTGGTCCTTCCCATTCATGCCTCCTTTCTTCCTCTGGTGCATTTCCTATTACTATAACAAACTGATTGACGGTGGTGGGTCGCTTTATAAATAAAAAGGCTTAATTTGGCTTACTTGAAGTCAAGTGGCTGTATGTGTATTGCCTTCTTGGCAAAGTTTCAGTGTGATACAGGTATCATATGGTAGAGACTGGGGGCAATAGAGAACTGTGTATGTGTGTGTTTTCTGACATTGTTTCCTCTGTAGAACCACCAGAATTCATTTATGCACTTTCTATCTAGTTCCCTTTGCCACCCAAAGGTCCCACCTCTAAGCAGTGTGATAGGAACCAGTTTCTTTCTTCTGACTACTATTCAGTGGGGATTAAATTCAACACAGGGACCCAGGTAAGGAGATGCATTCGAACCACATTAATCTGTAGCCACTGGTCCAGCAGGAGATGCTTCTTACCACAGTGGTGGCCAGCATACCTGAGTGTGCACACAGTGCCCCCTAACCATGGTTACTGCTTCAGATTACCCAGGAATATAAGCAGGAAAGCTCTGTGGAAGGACAACTGATCTGAGCTGTCAAGCTTACAGTTGGTTCCTCCTCGGGTTAGTATAATGGTGTTTGTAGCCAGAGCTTGTCACTTCCAGTGGAAGTGGGCCAGTATCATCACCCAGGCCAAGTATATATATGTAGGCTTTTCTTTGTGTTACTGGAAGAGGATTAATTTCATTAGAGGGGGCGGAGGTGAGAGAAAACTGAAAACAAAGTCATACCGGATGTGGTGGGTGGGTGTTTCGGGGCCCCCATCTTCCTCCTTGTACAGTCCTTAAAGGTCTATGCTCACTGTTCAGTGGGTGAAGCCTTCAGTATTGTGTGCTGCACATGGACTTTTTCTCAGGATGTCTGTGGCCAGTGTAGACTCTGCCGAGGTCTTTTTCTGCTGAATTCTCTCCCCTGTGCATTCTTTTTCTTTGCTTGAGAATGTCACTGGGAAGAACTGCCCTAGTCTTAGGACTCCTAGTTGCGTATGATAAAAAAAAGCCGAGTTGGTGTTGTTCAGAGAGTTTTTGACTGACTTTCAAGCCATCTCCTAACACACCCTTTGTAGCAATGATAAGCATTGTTGACATATTTTGCCTTAGTAAAAAAAAATCTTCAGAATTCTGTAAACCACAAAATGCACATAATTTGGAAGTGGGAAAAGTAAGCCTCCTGAGGTCATGTAGCCCCTGCCTGCGGACTTTCTCAGGAGGAAAGACAAGGCCTCTGGTTGGGGCTCCAGGCCTCATCTTTGCCCAGATGTTCAGATTTCCCCAGGTGTGGTCAGTTTATCTCGTGCCACACTCCCAAGTCACAGAGCAGACCAGCACATCCCCATCCTGGTGCTGGGCCTGCTCCCCTGTCCCCGACAGATTGCTACCCAATCCCTGCTGGAATGCATAGACAGCTACAGAAGGCCAGTTCCATTTTTGGAGAACACAGATTGTTAGAAAGTGCTTCCTTAAATAGAATCAAGATTTTACATTTCTTAAACTTCCTCCCCTTGGCTCTGACTCTGCCCTCCGGGGCTTTGCCAAGCAGAGCAGATCTCTTCAGTGAGTGACGGTTCTGTGAACTTCCGTCTCAGTTTCAACACATGGTTCCTTGGAAACATTTGTATTAAGGATGAAAGATTGCAAAAATGCAGATAAAAATTTGTTTCTAGATAATCTATTTATTAATAGGAATTAGCTTTCACAGCCAAGGGGCCTTTGGGACTCAGGGAGAAGTGGCCCCCGTTAAATTTTTTTTCTGCATTTGATGTGTGCATGCATGTGCAAAGTGAGGGCGCATGTGCCACAGCATGGATGTGGGGGTGTCAGAGGATAATCCACCACAGTCTGTTCCTTGTTTCTACCGTGCAAGCCCCAGGGATTGAACTCATCAGATCCTCAGAATTGAAAGCAGGCACCCTTAACCATTGGGCCCCCTGGCTTGGCCCCCACTTTTAGTATTTTGTTATGGTTTCTGTGTGTGTGTGTGTGTGTGTGTGTGTGTGTGTGTTGACGGCATTACAGTCACGATCGCCTTTGCTATTGGACAGAGGAAGCTTGTGGTCTAAACACACATTTCCTGTTGAAGCAGTGTCCAGAAAGAAGAAGGGGGAGACACGTCTGTGATTGATCTCCGTGTGCGACTGCTTCTTTCTCCACAGCCTGACACCCAGCTTGTAGGCCACAGAAAGGTGAAGGTGCTTTCTGTGGCCCCTCCTGTCTCCCAGGTGTCTCTTGTAATACAAACCTCGGAGTCTACATGCTTGTGACTCCCTGTTTAGTTACGGATGCATGTGTCCTCCAAGTCAGAACGTGTAGAATGGAAAGCCTCTCTGCTGTGTGGAGGTATCAAACCAGGATTGACCTCCCCTGCATCCCTTAGCTTCTTGTACTGCGTGCTGTCATCCATGTGGAATTTATCTGCTATAGGAGTCCACCCTATTGGAGGTCCATGGTAGGACTTCCATGCCTGATGCCTCCTGCAGAGCAAATTGCAGAGGAGTCACCCACAGAGCCGCAATGCTACGAACTAGAGCTTCTACCTGTGAGGGAGGCGACGGTGGCTCCGTGTGGCTGCCTGTGTGCCTTGGAGACTTAAAGTCTTGTCACCTGCAGTGCTTCTTCGAGCTGATTGAAGGCAATGGCACATTTGACAAAAACATCTCTTTGAAAATATTAACATTCTTTCAGTGATTTGTAATTGAGTAAAACAATCTGATCTTGTATTTTCTTTCATGAGGGCAAAACGTTTATATCTGCTGGATCTCCTTTCATGTTCGACTCCTGGTCATGAACAGTCAAGAAAATGTTCCCCTGCAAAGCAAGGAGTGATGGCTTTTCAAGGATGTTTCTTCAGGCAGTGTCTTGACACAGCTCTGAGCTCAGCAGTGAGCCAGCCCAGGCTACTTCTGGCCTTGATATTGCCAATTTGACCCTGGCGTGAGAATGGCCCTGTGATCTCCCTAAGGACAGCAGACAGGAGATCCAGAGTGCACTTCACCTCTGACTGACCGACTGACTTGCTTGTCTTCATAGATTTGAGCGTCTGGTTTTAGTGGCAGGCCTCCCTGTGCAATAGATTGGAAATGTCTACAAGTTAGCATCATGAAATGTTGGAGAACAGTTTAGAAACAATAGCTTCCTCATTTTAGACATAGAAAACCAGGTTCTGATTAGCACAGCTTAAGGGAAGTCCCAGGTTAGATGATGATGATGATGATGATGATGATGATGATGAATGGATAAATTTCCCAGGTCTGGTGGGTGTGTAGTACTGGGGTGGTCTCAGCAGCTTAGTCTCAAATGACTCACAGAAACAGGGTTCCTTTCATCTTGCTGTGCGTTCAAAGCATACAGGCACACTTAGGGAGTTCTTTAGAGACCACCCTAGGCCTGAAGGCATCTTATGGTCAAGGGGATACTATGACACAAACCCCAGTTCTGCAGGAGCATTTGCAGAACTGTAGTGACTTCAGTTTGGAATTAGCCTTTCAAAGACCAGACAGTATGGTGAGTATACACTATGATCCAATAGAAGGCACAGGAAAACCACAGGTGCCCATATATTCTGCTGGCTCCTCATCAGAATGGTGCCCCTGCCTGACGTGGAACTTCCTGTGGTCGATCTGTTTTCTGAGTATCTCTAGGATGAGAGTGAGGAATGCATGCTGCCTGTTGCTTGCTGAAGCTGCCCAGACTGGTCTGGAGCCATCGTTCAGGTCTTGTTTGCACAGCTATTTCTACAAGGGGAAGTCTCACAGCAGACCTACTGGTGTTCTGGCTCTGCCACCCTCTTCTCTGGGCATTCCCTGAGCAGGAGCTGTGCTGCCTGCCCATCAATCAGTTGGGGCGTGGATCCATGCAGTCCATTGGTCTTTGCCTCCTGTCTGTCATTTTCTGTAATGGTCGCTAGTACACAGCAGTCAGCCCTGAATTCATTTACTCACACATAATGAAAATTGGCTCAGCAGGTTGTATTTATATATTTGCCCATTTATATAATAATATATATGTAGCAATAATGATCCAAAGAAAAAAGAGGCTACCAATTTGAAATGGTGAGAGCATGGGAGGGGTTGAGAGAGGAAAGGGAAAGAGACAAGT